TTGGTCTAACAGTGGATTTCATTGAACTCACAATATAATTCAACGGAAACTTTCATCTGCATCACATTTTGTTACTACAATTCAAAGCACCATTAGCATTTCACTCTTGTCACATCGGGGTCAGCAATGTGTACAGGACTAAATCTCCTGCTCATTATTTAAAGCAGTGTTTCTCAACCTCTTTTGAGCCACAGTATGTTTTACATTTAAAAAATCCTGCGGCACTCCAACAACCCCAAAATGTTTGGAACAATTAACCTGGCAATCTCTCACGGCACAGTAGTTGAAAATCACTGATTTAAAGGATGTATCACATTTAGTGAGAGTAGACTGCTGGCTGCAACGCTGTGAACTGGTGAGGTTGTGTCAGTAATCTGGGTCATTTTAAAACTGCTAAACAGCAGTGGCGAACCGTGTCTATCACAACTGGACCTTCTGTAGACACACACACCCCCCGCCACCGCTTTTCACTGAATTGTCGTCTTGAAAAGGGTACTCACAACAATTCCGCAACAACTTCATCTTCATTACATTACATTACATTGCATTTAGCTGACGCTTTTATCCAAAGCGACTTACAATAAGTACATTCGACCAGGAAGACACAACCTTGAAGAAAACAGAATCATATAAGTACATCAGGTTTCATAGAGCCAAACATTTCAAGTGCTACTCAACTGGCTTTAGGTAATCCAGTCCTTTATTGGTATAAAAGTGCTTCGTTAATAGTTCTAACGCTCGAAGTGGAGTCGAAAGAGATGAGTTTTCAGTTTGCGCCGGAAGATGTGCAAGCTATCTGCCGTCCTGATGTCTATGGGGAGCTCATTCCACCATCTTGGAGCCAGGACAGCAAACCCACGTGTTTTCGCCGATGGGAACTTGGGTCCCCCTCGCAGCGAGGGCGCAACGAGTCGTTTGGCTGATGCAGAGCGTAGTGCACGCGCTGGGGTGTACGGTTTAACCATGTCCTGGATGTAGGAAGGGCCAGATCCATTCGCAGCACGGTAAGCAAGTACCAGTGTCTTGAAGTGGATTCTAGCAGTTACCGGAAGCCAGTGAAGGGAGCGGAGGAGCGGAGTGGTGTGGGAGAATTTAGGAAGGGTGAAAACCAGACGAGCCGCTGCATTCTGGATGAGCTGCAGAGGTCGGATGGCACATGCAGGTAGACCAGCCAGGAGGGAGTTGCAGTAGTCTAGGCGTGAGATGACGAGAGCCTGGACCAGAACCTGAGTCGCTTTCTGAGTCAGCTGGGGACGTATCTTCCTGATGTTGTAAAGCGTGTATCTGCAGCAACGGGTTGTAGCAGCGATGTTTGCAGTGAAGGACAGGTTGTTATCTAGGGTCACACCCAGATTCCTTGCAGTCTGAGTCGGGGAAACAACTGAGGTGCCGATGTTGATTGTCAGGTCAAGAGTTGGACAATCTTTTCCCGGGAGGAAGAGCAGCTCAGTCTTGTCAAGGTTGAGCTTGAGGTGGTGAGCAGACATCCACTGAGAGATGTCAGCTAGACAAGCAGAGATGCGTGCGACGACCTGGGTCTCTGAGCGGGGAAAGGACAGAATTAATTGGGTGTCGTCAGCGTAGCAGTGGTAAGAAAAACCATGCGGGCTAATTACTGATCCGAGCGAGTTTGTGTACAGGGAGAAGAGGAGGGGACCAAGAACAGAGCCCTGAGGGACCCCCGTAGTTAATTGACAAGGGTCGGACTCAGACCCTCTCCAAGTCACCCTGTAGGTACGGTCTTTCAGGTATGAGGTGAGGAGGGAAAGTGCAGAGCCTGAAACTCCAAGTTTTTGGAGAGTGCGAAGGAGGATCTGATGATTCACCGTGTCGAATGCAGCAGACAGGTCCAACAGGATGATGACAGAGGAGAGGGAGGCAGTTTTGGCAGTGTGCAGTTCCTCCGTGACAGCAATGAGAGCAGTTTCTGTGGAGTGACCTGCCTTGAAACCAGACTGGTGCGGATCCAGAAGGTTGTTCTGATTGAGATAACAGGAGAGTTGTTTAAAGACAGCGCGTTCAAGTGATTTAGACAGGAACGGGAGGAGAGAGACAGGCCTGTAGTTTATAACATCAGACGGGTTGAGAGTGGGTTTCTTTAGGAGAGGGTTTACTCTTGCCTCCTTGAGACTGTTTGGAAAGTGACCAGAAGTTAGAGAAGTGTTGATGAAATGGGTGAGAAACGGTAGAATATCAGGAGCGATAGTCTGAAGGAGGTTTGAAGGGATAGGGTCCAGAGGACAGGTGGTAGGGCGGGCAGAGGTAATGAGGGTAAGAACCTCACTTGGAGAGAGAGGGGAAAAGGAGGTTAGTGTGTTGGTGGAAGGAAGGTCTGGTGACCCAGCGGTGAGTAAAGGTGAGTCAGAAAAAGAAGAGCGAATATCATTAACCTTTTTTTCAAAGTGGGTAACAAAGTCGCTTGACAGAAGTGAGGAGGGGGGAGGAGCTTTTGGAGGGTCCAAGAGGGTGGAGAAGATGGAAAATAGTTTTTTAGGATTGGAATAGGAAGATTGGATCTTATCTTGAAAGAAAGTGCTTTTTGCCTGAGAGATTGAAGCAGAGAAAGAGGAGAGGAGAGCTTGATAGGTTAGGAGGTCGTCACGGTGTTTGGATTTCCACCATTTCCGCTCTGCTGCCCTAAGGACGGTTCTATTAGCACGCAGTGCATCATTTAGCCAGGGAGCCGGAGGGGACTGACGAGCCAGCCGAGATGTCAGAGGACAGAGCGAGTCCAGAGTGGATGAGAGAGTAGAGAGGAGAGTTTCTGCAGCAGAGTTTGGAGGCAGGAGATGGAACGAATCAGAGGAAGGGAGGGCTGAGAGCACCGACGAGGCAAAGGTAGAGGGAGAGAGGGAGCGAAGGTTACGGCGGACAAGTGTAGGATGGGAAGAGATTAGTTTGTTATGTTTGGAAAGGGATAGAGAGAATGAAATGAAGAAGTGATCGGATGTGTGGAGCGGGTTTACAGAGAGGTTAGAAGTAGCGCAGTTCCTTGAGAATATGAGATCAAGGACATTGCCAGCTTTATGAGTCGGTGGGGACGGAGACAGTGAGAAAGCAAAGGCGGTTAACAGAGATGTTAGTTTGTCTATCTTCCCCGTCTGGAGGTTGAAGTCTCCGAGAAGTACAGCGGGAGGGCCAGTTTCAGGGATGTGTGAGAGGAGATGATCTAATTCCTCCAATAAGTCCCCCAAGGCGCCTGGTGGACGGTAGAGAACAACAATGGTTAACTGTATAGGATGGGTTACTGTGACGGCATGGAACTCAAAGGTGGAAGGAGTGAAGTTAGGTAGCTTGAAGAGGGAAAAGCTCCATTTGGGAGAGAGCAGGAGACCAGTGCCACCTCCTCTGCCAGTGGGTCTGGGTGTATGGGAGAAGGAATATGCAGTGGAGAGAGCTGCTGGGGTGGATGTGTTGGATGGAGTAATCCAGGTCTCAGTGAGAACAAGGAAATCCAGAGACTGCAGGGAGGCGTAGCCAGAGATGAAGTCAGCCTTAGGAACAGCTGACTGGCAGTTCCACAGGCCACCTGAAACTAGATGTTGGATCTCAGTGGAGCACGTGGGATAGACGAGAGCAGGCCGGTTATATCGATTACGAGATACACGGGGCCAGTGATAATTGCGAGAAGACACATGAACAGGAATGGAGAAAATACACATGATTATAGCATGAGGGGCTAAACAACAAAATTAAAAACACCAACGATACTTAGCTCAATCAAAGTAGGATTTGCCTCCTCTTTGCCTCCCTCGTGACTCCTGTAGGACTCTAATGTCTTTGTCAGTCTTACTCCTGTAGGACTCTAATGTATTTGTCAGTCTTACTCCTGTAGGACTCTAATGTATTTGTCAGTCTTAGCCTGTCTGACGCTGAAGCTGACGCTCCAGGAAAGTGATACCTAAAATGGACGCCTGATTGCTCAGTTCTCACAGCTGTAGTTAATTAGTTAACTATCTACAGCTGATGGGCGACAATAGACTGGCCCTGCCTATATTAATAATGCAGGCTTGAGTGCTGAGACCTGTGAAGCAGGTTTCGCCTGAGCAGATCTGAGATTTAAAATCTCTCAAAAGCGATTTAGCCGTTTAAGGTACAATAACAATTATACAGAGTCGAATAAATGAAACCGAGAAGTCTAATTAAACAAGAATATAACTTACAGTGGTTGCTGCGTCAATAGGTAATGTCGTCTCCAGGTCCAGATGCTTCACCTGTTGCACTTGTCATTTCAACGTTAAAAACAATAAAACGGCATGAATTGCTTCGTCGCATTAATCTAGATCATCTGTCTCGAGCCAGTTAACTAGCGGGCCTTCTAGAACACCCTGGAACCGAGGGGAACTCTGAAAGAATACGCCCATTGGCTACAAATCAATATATGATTGGTTGATCAAACTGTCAGTCCAAACGTACGCTCTCATTCAGTGCAACGGCCAGGGCATTCTATCAAGGATGTAGAATACCTTGGTTGAAGGATATTCTACCCAGAGACCCAGAACAAGATCTGATTGGTTGCTTTCTTTTCTAACACAAAACCACTGAAATGCGTAGTGCATGGTCCGAGAAGGACAAACAAATCAACGTAACACTGTAATATTACAGATCAACAACACAGATACCATTCTCATTTATTCATTTTATATACATTTGATTACATTTTATTTATATCATTAAATCGATTTTTTGTTTGTTTTATCTGAGTGTTCCAGGGTATTCTCTGAATACCTTGAAGGCCCTGACGGTTCACCACTGCTAAACAGTACATTAAATCTAATAAAACGAACTAACTAACAGTAGATCTAACTGAGAATCGGAAGCTCTCTTGGCAGTTTGAAGCTTACTGAGCTTATCTGCTTATTTGAATTGGTACATTGAATAAGAGGGGACACAATCAATGCACATTTTATACAAAGTGAGGACAAAGCACGGAAGTTAACTGTTTTGTTTTGAGAAAGCTACAGAAGCTTATAACTTGTTTCTTTGTGTCTCCTGTGCAGGGGTCAGGATGTTGCCACTGTGCTGCACCTAGTTCACAACCTCCTTCATGATGAGGATGAGGACAAGCCAAGCCAACCGTAAGCACAACTGAGAAATATCATAGTACTGTCAGTGGAAACAAGGAAGGAAATGCTGGGAGGAAAACTGTTAAAACTATAAATATTCAAGATGTAATGGTTTTATTGTCATTTACACAATAGCTACAGTGTAATTGTTGGCAATACACATCTGGAGGACTGGTTGTCAACGGTTCAACATACAATATACCTTAAACATTAAAGAAGAAAACACAAAAATATTGCAAGAAACACAATGATGAAGTTAACAGCAGGAATAAGTAAATAGGTAAACTTTAATAAGATGAACAGAAAGTACACAAATACTGTATAGTAAAATAAAAATATAGTTTTTGGTAATAACATGTGAGTATGTGGACTAAACACATGAATTAGCTATAAACAAATGAAGGTGAAGACACTTCACAGAGTATAGCTAGTTTATCTGAAAGCAGAGATCACACTCCTTATTTCCACACGTTATGATCAGAGGGATTAGACAGCTGTCAGTATGGGGTCATAACGCCGCTCTGCGATGTCTCCAGCAGGATGCAGAATGTTGGGGAACAGGGTCATATGGCTCTGCTGGGTCACAGCCTGGCCGCCTACATCTCTGTGCTGGACAGAGAGAGACTGAGGAAGCTGACCACCCGGATCCTGTCCGACACCACGCTGTGGCTCTGCAGACTCTTCAGGTACGCCTGCTGTGGATGGAAAACACACTTCCGTTTTGTTCGGGTTGTGTTGATTATTACAAAGTAAAAAAAGCAGCAGCACTTTGTAGATTGGTGAGTAATGAATCCTAAAACCCAGAAATGAGTTAGCATTTTACCACTTCCCGTTCCCTCCTCTCAATGACAACGATTTGTGAACGTGTTTTTGGTTAGAAGCCTAAAATAAGATCTTTGGTTAACACAAGTGTTTTGTTTTGCAGCATACAATCAGTCCGTAACTATCCCACTGGTGAATGAATGAAGGTTCCATATATCATAAAAGATATATTAATTGTGTCCAAATGAGACTACTAAAAGTTCTCACACCAAACATTAGCCGCCTTTAGCTTAGCGGTGGTGAAGTTGTGAAATGTGTGATGTACTTTCTTTTGAATTTAACGTTGGCGCTTAACCTCTGGTGATGAATTTATATTTCAAAAATCCTAAAGTGATGTTAATAACAACAAACAACGAACGTGTGAGTATCATAAACGTTTTACCCAAAGATTTTATTTTCTTCAATATTCCAAAATCCATTATATTATCACTGCACCGCTCTATAAAGTCCTCACACACATGGCCGATACCAATAAGATAACGAATGATATTATATTTTAAAAAGAAGATCATAACCTATAGTTAATGAGTTGGAGAAAGGTTAAGTTGTTAAGATTGATATCCAAAAGCTTGGACCTAACCATATCTCACTGACATCACTGTTATCAACACAAAAACTGCAAAGACTCTTCAAATGTTCATTTATGTTTCTAGCAAACTTGATCAAAAACTTCCTCTAATGTTAATTTCTGCTTGTGTACTAATTCAATGTGTCCCTCAGCTATGAGAACGGCTCCGCCTACTTCCACGAGGATGACAGGGACGGCCTGGTGAAAGTGTGTCGGCTGGTCATCAACGCCCGCTATGAAGAGTATTCCTCTGAGGGATATGCAGTGCTCTGCTCCAAACAGCCAGTCATCTACCAGAGCGCCTCCGGGAGGCCCGGCCTGGGCCAGCATCTGTGCAGCCAGGTAGGGGGGGGGGATTCAAGCCCCTGTGTGCCAGCATGGCATGTGAATATATCATGTTGGAGAGACCTATACTATCGCTTGGATCTGAAATAAAATATTCAAATTTACGGGGCTTAAAAAGCTAGCGGTGCAAATAAAATCAAAAATATTGACAACATTACGTTGCTCTTTTGGACAACATAACAATATTCTGCCAAAAACAGACACACACTTTTATATGATATTACTTTACATTACATTGCATTTAGCTGACGCTTTTATCCAAAGCGACTTACAATAAGTACATTCGACCAGGAAGACACAACCTTGAAGAAAACAGAATCATATAAGTACATCAGGTTTCATAGAGCTAAAACATTTCAAGTGCTACTCAACTGGCTTTAGATTAGCCACTCCTTTATTAGTATATAAGTGCTTTGTTTGTAATTCTATCGCTCGAAGTGGAGTCGAAAGAGATGAGTTTTCAGTCTGTGCCGGAAGATGTGGAAGCTTTCTGCTGTCCTGATGTCAATGGGGAGCTCAAAAGTAAAAGTAGTCATTGTGCAGATTGATATTTCTCTTTTCATAAAAATATATAATTGTATTCCTTCAGTTTTGCGTAATTATTGCATATTTATATATACTTTTTAAGGTATTGTATAATAGAGATAAGATTGCATTTTTTCCGGCACAATAGAAAATGGTTGTAATGTCTCTGTGTCTTCAGCTGGGCCTGCCTCTCTCCAGCCTTTGCACAGTCCCATGTAATACCATCTTTGGATCCCAGCACCAAATGGTAGGAGAATCTGAATGAATGAACTTTGAGAACACTCTTTCAGATAATAATTAATAAAACGTTTTGACTCATATCCTGTTCCTCACTGTCAGGATGTGGCCTTGTTGGACAAACTGATCAAAGAGGACGTAGAAGCCGGGAAGCTTCCTCTGCTGCTGATCGCCAACGCAGGTGAAAGGAAACTACAGTTTAAACCCACTTATTTACTTTCCACTATATGCACAGGTGGTACACTATTGGAGGTGAACATCTTTTAAGACAAGCAGATGAGTTGCTCATGAGACTTGTTGTGTGTTTTTCCCCCAGGTACTCCGGGGGCAGGACATACAGACAAGCTGTCCCGACTGAGAGACCTGTGTGATCAGCACAGCATGTGGCTGCATGTGGAGGGGTGGGTCAACTCCTTTTCTCTGTGTAATACATATGTTGTTGCTGCCCCAGTTTCCTGAAGAACCGCTCATCCAAACAACTTCACACATGGCGCTTCCTAAGGTCGTGAGCACGCATCTCCAAGTTGTGTCATTCTATTTCTATGCTGGGGTAGAAGTACTCAGATCTTGTACTTGAGTAAAAGTAGTATAATACTTCAATACAAATACTTCACATTCAAAAAGTTATTCAAGTAAAATTTGAAAAGTATTAGTATCAAAATGACAACTCCACAGTGGCAAAGCCCGGGGGTGGACGAGATCCGCCCAGAAATGCTGAAGGCTCTGGGTGTTGAGGGACTATCATGGTTGACACGTCTCATCAACGTTGCGTGAAAGTCGGAAACAGTACCGAAGGAGTGGCAGACCGGGGTGGTGCTTCCCCTTTTCAAAAAGGGGGATCAGAGGGTGTGTGCCAATTACAGAGGCATCACACTACTCAGCCTCCCTGAGAAAGTTTACTCAAGGTACTCAAAAGGAGGGTCAGGCCGATTGTCGAACCTCACATTGAGGAGGAACAATGCGGATTCCGTCCTGGTCGTGGAAAGACGGATCAGCTTTTTACTCTCGCAAGGATCCTGGAGGGGGCCTGGGAGTAAGCTTATCCGGTCTACATGTGTTTTGTAGACTTGGAGAAGGCGTATGACCGAGTTCCCAGGGAGTTACTGTGGGAGGTGCTGCGGGAGTATGGGGTGAGGGGGTCTCTACTCAGGTCCATCCAATCTCTGTACTCCCAAAGCGAGAGCTGTGTCCGGGTCCTCGGCAGTAAGTCGGACCCATTTCCGGTGAGGGTTGCCCTTACCAGGGCTGCGCTTTGTCACCAATCCTGTTTGTAATATACATGGATCGGATTTCGAGGCGTAGTCGTGGGGGAGGGGGTCTGCAGTTTGGTGGACTAAGGATTGCACCACTGCTTTTTGCAGATTATGTGGTTCTAATGGCTTCATCGGTCTGCGACCTTCAGCACTCACTGAATCGGTTCGCAACCGAGTGTGAAGCAGCTGGGATGAGGATCAGCACCTCCAAATCTGAGGTCATGGTTCTCAGCAGGAAACCGATGGACTGTCCACTCCAAGTAGGGAATGAGTCCTTACCCCAAGTGAAGGAGTTCAAGTATCTCGGGGTCTTGTTCTCGAGTGAGGGAACAATGGAGCGTGAGATGGGCCGGAGAATCGGAGCAGCTGGAGCGGTACTGCAGTCGCTTTACCGCACCGTTGTGACGAAAAGAGAGCTGAGCCAGAAGGCAAAGCTCTCTGTCTACCGGGCCATTTTCGTTCCTACCCTCACCTATGGTCATGAAGCATGGGTCATGACCGAAAGAACGAGATCGCGGATACAAGCGGTCGAGATGGGTTTTCTCCGCAGGGTGGCTGGTGTCTCCCTTAGGGATAAGGTGAGAAGTTCAGTCATCCGGGAGGGACTCGGAGTTGAACCGCTCCTCCTTCGCATCGAAAGGAGCCAGTTGAGGTGGTTCGGGCACCTAATAAGGATGCCACCTGGGCGCCTCCCTCGGGAGGTGTTCCAGGCACGTCCAGCTGGGAAGAGACCAAGGGGTAGACCTAGGACCAGGTGGAGGGATTATATATCTTCGCTGGCCTGGGAGCGCCTTGGGATCCCCCAGTCAGAGCTGGTTGATGTGGCCGGGGAAAATAACGTTTGGGGCTCTCTGCTGGAACTGCTACCCCCGCGACCCGACCACGGATAAGCGGGAGAAGATGGATGGATGGATAGTATCAAAATGTAGTTAAAGTACCAAAAGTAGTCATTGTCATTCATTGTGCAGATTGGTCCATTTCAGAATAATATATATGATATGTTTTATAATGATTGATCATGAAAGTGTTCTCAAAGATGGTAAAGGTGCAGCTAGTTTGAATCAATCAATCAATGTTTATTTATATAGCCCAATATCACAAATGTTACATTTGTCTCAGTGGACTTCACAATTTGTACAAAAATATCAGTATGACAATACGACACCCTCTGTCCTTAGACCCTCACATCGTACAAGGAAAAACTTCCGAAGAAAACCCACAGTTTTAAAGGGAAAATGGGAGAAACCTCAGGGAGAGCAACAGAGGAGGGATCCCTCTCCCAGGACGGACAGACGTGCAATAGATGCCGTGTGTAAATTGAAAAGATAATACATTTGCAACATAGGTAGTCCAAATGTTTGGAAATGCTTGTGTGTATAATAGGAAGATGAATCCACGAGGATATCCATCCAGGACCTATGATCCAGGACCACAGCCACGACTCAAGATCCAGGGCTCGCGATCCAGGACAGAGGAGCGCAGGATCATCCATGACTCCGGATCCCGGCGTATATAGACACCAAAAAGAAAGACATTTGGGGAAGCTGGGTTAATCGGAACATGAGAGTACACAGGTATAGACAGAGAGAAGGAAGAAGTAAGATGTCCCCCGACAAACTAAGCCTATATCAGCAAACTAGGGGCTGAATCTAATCAGCCCTAACTATAAGCTTTATCAAAAAGGAAGGTCTTAAGCGCACTCTTAAAAACGGATAGGGTGTCTGCCGCCCCGAACACAAACTGGAAGCTGATTCCACAAATGTGGAGCTTGATAAGAAAAGGCTCTGGCTCCCATTGTACTTTTAGAGACTCTAGGAACAACCAACAACCCTGCATTCTTGGAACGCAATGCCCTAGTAGGACAGTAGGGTATAATGAGTTCTTTAAGGTAAGATGGCGCCTGCCCATTAAGGGCTTTGTAGGCGAGAAGAATCATTTTAAATTCTATCCTGTGTTCTATAGGGAGCCAGTGTAAGGCAGCCAGAACAGGAGTAATGTGGTCCCTTTTCCTAACTCTGGTTAGTACACGAGCTGCAGCATTTTGAATCATCTGAAGCGACTTGACTGACTTCTTGGTACACCCTGATAATAAAGAGTTACAATAATCCAGCCTTGAAGTAAAAAATGCATGGACTAGTTTCTCTGCATCGTTTTGAGGCAAGATATGCCTGATTTTTGCAATGTTACGTAGATGGAAGTAGGCGGTCCTTGAAATTGATTTTATGTGGGCGTTAAAGGATAAATCCTGATCAAATATAACACCAAGATTCCTTACAGTCTCACTGGAGGCCAAATGAATGCCATCCATAGTTAGTTTATCTTTAGATAATTTGTTTCGTAGATTCTTCGGGCCAAGTACAATAACTTAAGTTTTGGTCGTGTTTAACATCAAAAAGTTTAAGGTCATCCACGTTTTTAAGTCCTTGAGGCAGTCTTGAATTTTATTTAGATGATTAATTTCATCAGGTATCATCCGCATAACAATGAAAGTTTACAGAATGATTCCTTATAATATTGCCTAACGGAAGCATATATAATGTGAACAAAATAGGTCCGAGCACTGAGCCCTGTGGCACTCCATGGCTAACTTTGGTTTGCGTGGAAGATTCATCATTGACACGTACAAACTGAGAGCGTTCAGATAGATAGGACCTAAACCAGCCTAAAGCAGTTCCCTGTATGCCAACTAAGTGCTCTAGTCTTTGCAATAAGATATCATGGTCGATAGTATCAAATGCAGCACTGAGATCGAGCAAAACAAGAATAGAGACAAGTCCCTTGTCAGAGGCTATTAGAATGTCATTTGTGAATGACTTTGTATACTGCAGGGTAGCTTGTGAATTTACTCCAGGTGGAACTAAAGTATTACAAATAATTAGTGGAGTAGAAACACATTATTTACCTCTGAATTCTACTATAAGTACCAAGTAGCATAAAATGGAAACACTCAAGTAAAGTACAAGTATTTCAAAATGATATTTTAGTACAGTAGGCTACTTGTGGTACTACACCGATTTTCAAATAGGCGAGTGCTGTTGTTCCAGTATCTGATTGTGCATGCTGACTTCAGGGAAGTAAAGACTTCAGTCATTCTGTTAATAAATCCAGCATCCTTCAGCAAAACTGAACGGCAGTCAATGAGCGGGGGCCTGGAAAGACCTGCAAAGACCTGCTGCAGATTACTCTGATTGCTGGCCCTGATCATTCTGTATAGTATGAAGTCCTTGTTCCGCTAGAGAAATATTAACCTTTATTATGTTATTGTGTTTTGTTCTCCAGGGTCAACCTGGCAACGCTGGCTCTGGGTCAGGCCTCCTCTGCCATCATGGTAATGTAAAAAATACTCCCGTCTACTTAAATGTGGATTCTAATTCAATACATGCTTAGTCTAATTCGACCAATATTTCCTCACAATAGCTAGCTCTCTGTTCTGTGCGTGCGCTGAAAAGAAACAAGGTATATATATATACAGTCCTGGCTCTGTAAATGGGAAAAAAATGAAGTTTCACAGAGATCCGAATTCTAAAAAAGGCCAGTCTATTTATATTTTTGCATGCGGAGTGTGCACAGTAATAGCTCAGTGTCTATATTTTTTAATGAATAACAGATTCACAAGAAATTACTGATGGCATTTATTTTTTACCAGTGCCAGCTGGTGGTTGCTTATTTTTGTTATCCCTTCCTAGCCTCTTGTAGTCCTTAGATGTTACCTTACCATTTTACACAAACTGTGGGAAAGTAGTATAATTGAACTATTGCTACCAACAGGCTAAAACGTGTATGGGAAGGTTGTTGGTCCAGTTGTTCCTTACATGAGGCTGACATGAGGATTCTTTAGCTGGTGTAAACATATAAAGTGGATATCTTCCAAAGTCACACTGTTCCTATTGGAGATTGCACAGATTGCTTGCTGAACTGTGGCAAATGGACATGAAGCGAGAACTAGTTTATCATGACTTACTTTGGATATTACCAACTTGTTTGGACTCCTTTAAGCCTTATTAGCTCTGGTCCGACTCTGGGATGTATATATATGTTTTAAACCAAGACAGTGGGTATCGTCATTCCAACATTTCAAACAATAACATAAGAAACACCACCCAGCTCAGTAAGTAACACCAAAGTCATAAGTTAGAAAAAGCAATCACATGAAGGTCAATTATGCTTGATAGTTGAAAATGCTTTAAGAAAACAAACAGCCTCCTTCACAGCTCTCCAGAGGGTTTACTTTATTGTGTTACAAACAGTGTTGCAGCTCATCCCTTAAAACGGAAGCCTCAAATTGCTGATAATTAGGGGGACATATGAAGGGGATATTTCAAGCTTTATCAACTAAGATTTGTGAGAAAATGTTTTCAACTTTAATTGACTGAATGTATTTGAAAAGTGGGCTTATTAACACATGAATACTACTGTGTGATATATGTTCATATATGTTTAAGAAGTACAATATAGGAAAAGCTCAAGTTACAGGTGTGGGACATGTTCCATTATACTTTTAGAATTTGATGAGGGCCAACTAAAAGTGGACAATCAGTCGGCTCCCCGGTTGTAGTTTGGACACCCCTGTTCTAGGTCATTCAAAGAGCTAATAGAATATAATAGAATGGGAGGGATGAAACCCCTCTTTGATGGTCTCACATGCATAGCACACAGCACACACAGTGACATTTGGCCTCTGCATTTAACCCATCCTAGTACCAGGAGTCTAGTACTAGGAGCAGTGGGCAGCTATTGTACAGCACCCGGGGAGCAATGGGAGTGGGGGGGGAAGGGGGTTGTCTGGTGCCTTGCCCAAGGGCACCACGGCAGGGCCCAGGAGGTAAACTGGGACCTCTCCAAGTAGCAGTCCACACAGTCCACGGGGACTTGAACCGGCGGCACTACGGCTCACAGTCCAAGCCCCTGCGGCTCACAGTCCAAGCCCCTGCGGCTCACAGTCCAAGCCCCTGCTGACTGAGCCACTGCCGGATCATGGCTGATCATGGCCTGATCATGGCTGATCATGGCCTGATCATGGCCTGATCATGGCTGATCATGGCCTGATCATGCCTGATCATGGCTGATCATGGCCTGATCATGCCTGATCATGGCTGATCATGGCCTGATCATGCCTGATCATGGCTGATCATGGCCTGATCATGCCTGATCATGGCTAATCATGGCCTGATCATGGCTGATCATGGCCTGATCATGGCTGATCATGCCTGATCATGGCCTGATCATGGCCTGATCATGGCTGATCATGCCTGATCATGGCTGATCATGGCTGATCATGGCCTGATCATGGCCTGATCTTAGCTGATCATGGCTGATCATGGTTGACACTAAGGCACTTCAGGGTAATTTCACTCAGTTAGAAACCTTCCTAAGGAAAAATAATATTCAACCGCAGCCACATACACCTTTGACACCTGCCAACCCCCCCCCCAAGTATTTTTGGCTAACCTCATTTAGGTTGTATATGCCAGACAATACACACACAAAGAGCCATCTTACTTTCTCTTCTGACGTGTGTTTCTCTGTGTACTCTGACCTCCCCCCTGCAGGCAGCCACCAGGAGTGACAGTATGACTCTGACCCCAGGTCAGTGGCTGGGCCTGCCTGCTGTCACTGCTGTCACCCTCTACAGACATGAGGACCCAGCCATGGTACGCTCATATCACTTTCTACAGATGTTCCCGACACAGAGCCACCATGTTTCTGGATGTCCTCCTGCTGCTGATCCTCGCTGAGGAAATGTTCAGCAATCAAACACACACTTGTTTAACCTTTCCCACAATTGTCACTATTTAAACTATCTATGTTAAGATTTTTCTCTCCAAATCATTAAGTTTGGTTGTATTACATGTAATATACAGTACACTTTTCATATTTTTTTTATGTGTGCAGTTTACAGTTTTTACAATTAATAATGTTGCTACATGCTGCTACCTCATTACTTTTATATGTTTACTCACTTTTATATAATGCTGCTTTTGATTATTAAAGAGTATGTGTCTTATTTGATTAGATATTGTTAACTGTGTGCTTAGTTCTTTATTTAATATGTCAGTCTACTCATCTTATTCTTGTCTTCTTGCTGTAACACTGTTATGGCGCATTTCCACTGCAGCGGGTAGCCCCGTTTAAGCGTCCTTAATCGTCCTCAAGCGGCCAGGCCAGTTTTTGATGGCCTTTCCATATAGCGTAGCACCGGCTAGCGGGTACTTTTCCCCTCTTTTTCCGGCCCCATAACATCGTGGTTCTATCAGGCCAGGGCTGAACTAGTGACGTCAACACTCTCGACTGCTGATTGGTCAGAGAGAATCGTCACAAGATCGCGCGCGAGATCATCCCTAGCGTCGCATATATATCTAGAAGCAAGCTTGCAGCATTTTTATAAACAGCATTTTGTAAACGGAGGAGCTACAAAAATGGCAACGTCAAAGAAAAGCACACCGTGGTCGACCGAGGAGGTGACAACGCTCCTACATCTCATTGGGGATGATAAAATCCAGCGGGAGCTCGACGGAACAACTCGAAATGTGAAGCCGATCGCCCCGCCTACACTGCGTTGCTACCCCAGGTCCTAAACTGTAATGGCAATGCGCCTCGGACGGCCAGCGAGGCAGCCCGAGGCCTGAGCGAGGACGCTTAGGGACGCTTAAACGGGGCTACCCCGCTGCAGTGGAAATGTGACATAATAGAACTGCATTAGAGTCCCCACTGTGGGACAAATCAAGGATGTCTAATTCAGATTCTGATTGTTCTGTTCTATTCTCTGTTTGTGTCTGAATGACTTGCTGTGTGTCAGTCTCTGGCAGCAGGCCTGACTTCCAGCCAGCCGGTGGCCAGGCTGCGGGCGCTGCCCCTCTGGCTCTCCCTGCAGCACCTCGGACACGATGGGATCGTCCACAAGATCAGACACGCCACTGCTCTGGTGAGCACCACTTCACTTCCCCTTAACCACAAACTCTGGATTTGAATATTGGCAGATATTAAATGTCATATTATGGAGTTTGCAATAAAATCTAATGATATACTCTAGATATGGAAAGTCAGTCATTTCACCTTTATTTCTCTCCCCTCTAGAGCCAGCACCTCCTGCAGAGGCTCAAAGCTCTGACCTCCATCAAAACATCGGTAGGTGCTCTCATAATGTTCTGCCATAAACAAAAACTCAGGACTCCCATAATAATGGTCATCAAATGTATTGTGAGAACAGCGGTCACAGTCACAGAAGCCCAATGCGAGTGACGATATCAATCAAATCAAATCTTTGCAGTTACTGTTTTGCAACCCTACACATAATATCCAAAAAACAATATTCCTGTGCCCCTATGACTTTGCAGTACAGCAAGAGTCCAACTGTATTTTTCATAGTACTGCTCCATACCTTGGATGGTTAGTCTTGAAGAAACAGGTCATCCAAGATGTTTTAGATATGCTAAAAAAAAGTATAGATTAATAATGATATGAAGCTATTAAACCTACTATAAATGAAATGAAATCCAAACTGATTGTAATGGGAATATTATTTAGTGGTTGACCATGGAATGTTGACAAGAAGATAACTAAGAATATCTCACTCTTTATAAAAGCAGCTTAAAGAAATGATGTACACGAAAACATGTATGGCAGCTGATACAGTTAACTGAAGTAAGTTTCATGCTTCACATAGCCGGCTGGTGGACCACTCACACAGCGTGGCCAGTACATCATCATTTATTATATGATATTCTTATCACCCATTGGTGAAATTCCAACACATAGCCTTATCAACATTGAAATGATGCCTAATGAAAGACAGCTCAGGTGCAATGTGTCGGTTTGTTTCAAGAGTCAACAGCTCTACGTGTATTAATAAATAAGATGTATAACTAATATCTCATGAAGAAATGACCTCCAGCTGTTCAAAAACAAAATGCCTTTATGTTTGTAGGATGTGCTTGAGACAGAGATCTCTCTCCTTGAGGCTCTGACAATGGTAAAGCAGAGTAGTGATGATACTAACTGGCTCAGGGGGAGGCTTGTTCACTGGCATTCATACAGTCACAGACATGTAGTGTGATGTGAGTTCATGCCAGCAGAGGGGCTGGGGAAAATATTACTATACATGAACACAAGTGTAATTTAAATGCAGTGAACAATCAGAGTGCTGGGGATCAGATCCATTACACAGGGGGACTCAAACTCAAACCAGTGGCTTGGAGAAAGAAGTGTGATTCTTGTCTGTGTGTGTGTGTGTGTGTATGGCGGAGGTTTTAGTCAGTGTGGATGGCCTTGGTTCCAGGGCGTGGTGTCGCCGATCCCGCCCATCTCCGGGGCCTCACTGCGGGACGTTCTGGGCTCTCTCATGCTCTCTATTGTAGGTGGGACCAAGCCTCTGCCTGTCTTCCCCACTTCCCCCTTTTCCTCCATTCTCTTCCCTTTCTTACTTCCTGTAACTCAGCGGTATTTGGGTCTCCATTGGCTGATGGACTGTTCACTTCTTCCTAATTGTTTAGGATGTGGACCACTCAGGCATTTTATATGAGGTACTTCAGAGAATGCCTCTCTCATTCATAATTCATGAATGCTGTTGCATCTCATTACTTGAATCAAACAATAACAACCAGAGTAATCCATTTGACACCTATATTTTATACTTGATGTGACACCTATCATGTGAATGGACTAAAGAGCTGTAAAGTCCCTCCACTATGTGACTGACATTTAAATTCAGCCATAATGAGTCAGTTCTGTAGTGCTGTGGGTTGAGTTTTATTTGGACATGTAATCCTTGGCAGTAAGGGTTGAGTGTATGTCTTTGGTATCCAGAAGCCCATAGCAGTGCTCTTAACGTAGTTTAAAGATAACAACCATTTCATGTTAACCAGTATATACTATTGAACAAACATAAAAAATGTTTGGATTGTCTTGATTATTGTGTGTTTAAGCTTTTTTGCTAAAGCTATACTTCTCCTTTTATTTAAACAACACATGTTTGTAACATAGTGTTTGCTTTGACTTTCATTACACACGTAGAGGCCTCCCACGGGTAAACCTTTGTTTGCTCTGTTCTTGCTGAACAGATCTGTGTCTGCATTGCTGCCTCTTCTTCCTGCTTGGTTAAATACAGCATGTTGCTGCCTCAGAGGACACTGTGGAGCTGGTGACTTTTGCTCAGCCCTCCAACAGTTTGTGTACAATAGAAAAACTAAATTCTCAGTAGGCTTTACATCAACTATGTGACACAATGTGTCCTCTGTCCACATCATGGTGAACAGAATGCATCATAAAGAGGGGCAAGATATGATCATTTGATCAAAAGGAGTTTACTGCACACATTTTTGGGCAGTCTATCCTTAAGGCATTGAAGGGTTGCCCAACTTAGTGCATGTTCTTGCAGTTATAGAAAGATGAAGAATAGAAAAAGAGAGCAAATCAAATCCTGCAAAAGTTCACACCTAGCAAATATGTGCCTTGGGGTGAGTCCTCCATCGTAAAGGAGGACTCAGACAGGAAGCAAGACCTGTGTATCACTTAACATTAGCATGCTACAGCTTTGAAACCTGCCCTGGGTGCAGCTATATTTGTCTCTTATTATGGATAAAACGTTTTAGAATATTTTTTCTGGTTTTCTAACTTGACAACCGCAGACATACTTGTGGATTATTCATGACCCTCACATGAACACCCAGACACACTAGCCTTCATCTCAGCCCCCCGCCAGGCATGATGTAACCCCGGTGATGTCCTCAGCAGCACAGATGTGTCCAGGTGCTGCCTGCATCTGTGACCTATTGCATGGCGCATAGCCTTGCTTTGGAAATGTCTTTAATGGAGTAGTCTAAACGCCTAATGCCACTTATTGATCAGTTCATACTTAAGGTATTTTAGTAAAATCTTGTGAACTGGAGCTGTAGCTGTGATGAGAGGAAAGGACTCGGCCCATCTCTTCCATATTGACTTGTGTGTGACATTCAGTTACATAACATATCGCATCTTCATTAGGCATGGACACAAAGCAACATCTGAAACGTTAACATCGCACCCTTCCAACTGAAGATCTGTGTTTTGCATGCCATACAGCAGATCACTGTTCAGTATGATGATAAGCATCCCTGTGTGACAGACGGCTGATGCGTGTCCTTGTGTGTCCAACAGGTGGAGGACGAACTCAGCTCTCCTGTGGTGCTATTCAAGTTTTCACAGGACATGAGTGCTGGTGAGGGTCACACAAACATGGCACTTTTGATAAAGACTGTTTGTCAATCAGTAATATAATAAAGGAAAGCAGCTCTATGGTATACGTATTAAGTGTAAACTGTGCTTCTGTGCCAACATGGCACCTTGACCTTTGACCCTCTTGTTTTTATATTCGCTGAACAAAGGATTGTGGGTCAGAATGGCAGACTTGCTGCTCAAGTATGAACTGATTAGAATTTTGTGATCAAATGTCAAGGACAAGAAAATGTGTGCTAGATAATATACATAAAACATTTGAATACACACTTATACTCACAGTCATAATTACATAATAAAATAATGAAAGCAGATTGCTAACCGCTGCTTGTTTAAAAAAGAAAACAGCAGTAACCAGACTGCATGCTTGCAATGCCCTGTCATCAGCACATCACATGATATCCAACAAAGGCAGAGGGAAACAAATAGATATTATTTCAGATCGGATGAAAATGTGTGTCAAATCCACAATCAGAGAAAAGAGATACAAAAATAAATTCAGATTCACAAATCCCTGATCAAAGGTTGAGAATGTTAGAACGATATTCACAACTGCTTTTTCATTTCCTGTTCAATTTGATGTATTTGTAGATCTGTATTTTTATTTGGGAAAAAATGTTTTGCACATGTGGAAAGTGTTTGTACATATACAGATTACTACGGTGGCCGGCAGGTGCAAACGCAGAACAACGGCCAAAAACGCATACATAAGCAGGAAACATCTGCAAATAATGAAAAACAAACAAACCCTGAAAATAAATACAACAAAAAAACGCTGCATTTACAGAAATGATGCAAACTAAATACAACACACAAACCCCGAAAACAAACGCAACAGAAAAACGCTGCAATAACAAAAACCATATGCAAAGTCAAAAACACACAATGCTCCAGGCCTCTAGGGGCGTTACATGGAACAGATTGATGTCTGACCAGACATAAAAGGCTTCTCAATTCTCTAATCTCCCCTCCTCGACTCCTCGGTCCTCCGGTAGTGACCCGGAAATGGATTTCAGTGCGCCATGTTGAAGGACATCTTATTTCTCTAAATGCACATCGAGGACCGAGGATCGAGGAGGCTCTCTGGAGGAGCTATAACCGAGGATACTCGGGGTGTTTCTCAATGTCGAGTAAAGCTGCTCCAGAGCCACTATTTCAAGCATACTACGTCATCGAGTGCCGCAGAAGGACTGTTCCAATGTCCAGCATACTTGGAATTCTTCATTTAAATTCCTGGGAGTCCACATCTCCCAGGAGCTCATCTGGTCCACAAACACCACGGCAGTGATAAAGAAGGTCCAGCAGCGACTGCTCAGAAAGAACCATCTGAATCAGAAGCTGCTGGTGACCTTCTATCGCCCTACAGTTGAGAGCGTTCTCACATACTGCATCTCTGCTTGGTATGCAGGGTGCTCGGCTGCCGACAGGAAGGCTCTGCAGAGGGTCATTAACACGGCCCAGAGGATTACTGGCTGCCCTCTGCCCTCCCTGGAAGACATCACCAGCTCTCGCTGCCTCAGGAGGACCAGTTCCATCCTGAAGGACTCATCCCACCCAGCCCGTCATCTGTTCGACCTGCTGCCTTCGGGCCGGCGCTACCGTTCACTGAAAGCGCACCTCCAGACTCACAAACAGTTTCTTCCCATGGGCCATTAGGACATTAAACACACACAAATCTCCCCATATCCCCACTGTGCAATGGTCTGTCTCTATGTATATACTGTAATATTTATCATATATATTTTATCATAATTCTATTTTATTCATGTATTTATTTATTTATTAATCCTGGTCATCTACATGACCATCCAAAGCTGTGTGCGCTACTTGCTGGTCGTAACGGTCAGACCTTTTAATCTGTTTTTAAAGCACTCGCTGGAGCAGTGACTATAAATCTCGTTGTATTCTGTACAATGACAATAAAAGCTTTTGAATTTGAATTCTACCGAGCCTGGCGTACTTCGTAGCGAGAAATTGCGAGGCTGCACATGTGTAGACTCCGCAGTCTTAAAATCCCCACAATGCTTTGCGGACCAATTTCCCCAAATCTGTGGCGGAAAATGTAAGGCGGGGCCTCTCATATGACGCACACCTGCACACTTGCTAGCCAGTAGAGATGGCAAATCCGGATCCTTTTACGGACTCAGGGTCTTCTGAGTCAGTCATTGAAGAGATCCGGATCATACGAGTCATTTGAGTCATATGAGTCAGCATCACCAAGAGCATAGAAATCCTATCGGTGAAACCGAAAAGTTGATGCATTTCAAGAGCATATTAAACTGACGTTACATTAACCTCCGCTACACAGTGTCTTTTGCTTTTAATAAAAAAAATTGATCACAAAAAAAAGGGTAATTTTGCGAATCTGAGTCTGCTGTTGACTCGTGCATGACGACGAGTCTGCTGGATCTCTGGATCTGCTGCTATACGGTTACGGCTCTGAGTCCGCACGAGTCTGCTGTGTTTTGCACAGTGAGTCAGGATTTGCGAATCTCTGAGTCTGCTGTTGACTCGTGCATAATATAGTCGCGGGAGCCGGGTGCTGGAGGAGGGGCTGCAACATGTTACTGTTAATCTCTCCCCACTTTTGGCCACACCCCCTAAGTAAAATGTCTTCCCAGCCGCGGCTATGCTCGTGCACATGACGAGTATGGATCTCTGGATCTGCTATGCTATTTCGGTTAGGAGCCGTAACTTACGGCTCCTCTGAGTCCACGAGTCTGCAGGAAGTTTCACTGATCCGCGTCCCCTCCCCTGAGCCAAACGATAACTTCTGGAAGCTATCCTACTTGCTAGGGTAGGCAGATGGACTGGGGTACGTTGTAATGTTATTGTACATGTTATAAGGAGAGTAGCGAGTGACGCAATTTATAGTTTTAATTTGTACGTCACACAAGGTGTACGACTCAAAGGACTCGGGTTAATGGAGAGGGGAGACTCGTCACGACCAGCTCATTTCTAGGATCCGGGTTAATGATCCGGATGAATCAGGACTCGCCCATCTCTACTAGCCTGTTCCACTCTTGGTTTTCCGAATGCCAGGAAGTATTATTCTTGCCTCGCTTCTGAAGCAAGTGACTCGGAAGACATGTGCTATCAAGCAAGCGTACTCGACATTGAGAAACACCCCGTGATGGTTCCTCCACAGCTCCTCCGTGGATGTATTTCCGGCAACAGTGATGTTTCAAAGAGACGGCCGGACTTATGCCAATGACAGCTCTGCATGCATACATTTGATCACTTCTCCACTGACCATAGTTACATATAGTATTGCTAAAGCTCTGTATAGTTGCAACATGATCTATACACAAATACATACATATAAACAAACTGCTAAGAATGTCTCTCTCTCTCTTGAAATGTTTCCGCGGTACTCACTATGGCCCGTGTTATTTACTTGCGTTCCGATAATCCAAAAATCAGCTCCTAAATTCTAACCCTATCTCCTATTCCTTGACCTCTGAGTGAAACGTCACGGGGTTAAGGGATAGTGGATAGGAGAATTCAAAAGGATTTAGGAGAAGAGACTGCGGTACTTTAGAGAATCCGAATGCACTTTCACTATCCGACGTGTTTATGATGCGCCAGCGGACGTCATGAATGTGCGTCTGCTGCTGTGGGGAAACTATGGAAACTACAGTTTTCTATACAGAGGACTACAACATGGATGTTTAATAAGAACGAGGAACTACTGTAAACTCATCTAGAGACTCTGCACCGTGCTCTGATGCTGTTGCTTTATGCTTTATGAACGTGGACAACAGAGAAACATATTCTTCAGGACCAAAGTTGGAATTGAAATAAAAAAGGAAAGTGAAACTTATGCTTGTCACCCTCTCCCTCCGGTCCACGTTAATACAAATGATCCCAATACGTATGATTGTATGATTGATGAAAAGATCTTAAAATCAATACAGATGTATTTATTATAAACGTTAGTCCTTAACATCTATCACTGTGTATATCACCATTCAAACATCTTTTAAAAGTTGAACAACCCCACAGCTCAGTAAAGACTGTGAAATGTTGACTTTATTTGATCATTTCAGTAAAAACTAACGTTTATATTTCTCTTTTTGATTATAATACTGATGAACGTTCAAAACAAAGCACTTTGGCAACTTACCACATACGTTTTAAAATGCTTAATAAGCACCGTAACTTTCATGATATCATTTCTACGTCATAATCGGTTGTTTTCCTGAACGGCCGACTGTTGAGTGACGGCAAATGCTGCGGCTGCAATGCATTGTGGGGCAGCATTTTCTCCTCTCTTTTCGGTTAGGGAGGTCCAGTGGTTCCTAAGCTAAAGGAGGTTATAAAGGAAGTTTGAAACCTCCTTTCCTTTCATTTGGAGAATTGGAACGGCACTTATCATGGCTGCCACTGAGGGACTTCCGGGTCATTTCACTCGGTTAGGAAGGTTCCTAAGCTAAATGGACTATTGGAACGCAACCCAGATCTCGATTTGTCATCTCTTTTAACAATGTTCTTCCCTCACTTTATCTTCTCTACAGGGGAAGCTCTCAGCTTGTGTAGTAGTTACTGTAGGGACGCTAACGCCAGCAGCGTAAATATGAAGCTCTTTGTATAACAACAAAACAAAACTTACCTTCTTATATATCGACTTTCGATCAACTTTGTTTCCTCCGGCTTCAATTTCCATCACTCTCGTTCGTTCTCTCTATTTCTGGTCAGACATCAATCTGTTCCATGTAACGCGCCCCCTAGAGGCCTGGAGCATTGTGTGTTTGTATGTGTTTTTCACTTTGCATATCTTTTTTCTATTTGCAGCGTGTTTCTGTTGCGTTTGTATTCCGGGTTTGTGTGTTGTATTTAGTTTGCATCATTTCTGTGAATGCAGCAGGGTTTGTTTGTTTTTATTTTCAGGGTTTGTTTGTTTTTCATTTCATTATTTGCAGCTGTTTCCGGCTTAGGTATGCGTGTTTGGCCGTTGTTCCGCGTTTGCACCTGCCGGCCACCGTAGATTACACATTTACGCACGGATTGTCGATTTCTGTTCACTCAAATAATATTGTGGCAAATCTAGCTCCATATGCTTATAATCACAATTTCACACACATTCTATAATGACATTTTGGAAGGATATGGATTTAAACTGTATGGGCAAGGCAGTTATTTGAGTTCTCAAACTAAAAGGGATTAGTGTAATGCCATATTATTAACTCAAAGGACCACTTACTAGTTATCAACAGAGTCACATGTTCCCCATCAGCTGTGTCGTCATCCCAAAAGCATGTTGGTTTCTGGAGGTTCTGTTGACCTAAGAGTGCAGCCCCTCCTCGTTCCGTGGTGCAGAGTAACCCCGAGACCTGCGGATAGAACATTTCAGGGGTTACTGAGATTGAACCAGGATAATATGTCACTATCAAGCAACAAATATTTAAAGTACATTGTTGTATTCTTACTTTCCCTCTGTTCTATGTCACTAGCATCCAGTGGGGGTTCAGTGGAAGGTTTCTGTGCGGGGGAGAAGGAGGTGCTCGATGCCTTCAACAGATGGGTGAGTTCTGTAGTACACAACCTGTTCTTTGTATTTATGTGCCTATGCTATTTAGAGCTGCAATAAATAATATGTCAATACAACTATAATGACTGAAGAAGTTCTTCATCTATTTAGAGCATTGGGTAGTGGTGCACTTCAGGCTCTTGTGTCCAAAATAAGTACAACAACAAACGCCCTAACAAAAAAAAAAGAGACGTGGCAAACATTTTTCCAACTGTTCACAGAACAATCTTTCTCCAGAAAAAAGTGTTTCTTCTTAAAACTGAACTATGAGCAACCCCACACAGTTGATGTGTTTATTCCTCTGTGTGTAGTTAGGAGAACAGCTGGTTCAGTGGGTCCCCTCCAGTGGAGTAGATGTGGTGGAGCTGGAGGATGAGGGCACATGTGTTCGCTTCAGCCCCCTCCTGACTGCTGCAGGTAGCCTCCACACACTCACAGTGTCCTTGAGATATCTTAGATACTGTAATAAGGGTTAAACAACACCATGGTTCTCTGCCTGTGTCCAGTCCTGGGCACGCAGCAGGAGAACACAGAGGAGCTGGTGGAGAAGCTGTCGGAGCTGGTGCCTTCCATGTGCTCCACCATGAGCCTCAGACAGGACTTCAGAGAGGAGGTCCACCGACACTCGCCCTCGCTCACGTACCGAGAGCAGCTGAGCTGGCCTGGCCTCGGCGCTGTCTGGTAAGAGAGGAGGCTTTGAGGGCCTGCTGTCGCATCACATTCATTAATCTGACGCTGATATCCAAAGCTACTCCAACAGGTGCCCCAACCCCAAATAGTGCAAAAAATCAAGTGCATCAATTTATTTTCTGACATTCATATTACAAATATCATGAGAGGTGTTTAGTTACACACTTACATGTTTGACCTTAGATACATTAATTCATGTCTCTTCTGGACATTATTAGGACAAACTTCTTCATTGGTAATAACAATCTTCGTATTATATAAACATGAGCATCACATTACCAGCAATGAACTACTACTACATTAACTGTAATATTAACCAGACAAGTGCAATTACAAGGAAAATTGTGTTACAACATATGTTAAATGTTCTTTAATATTTTCAGTGAAGCAGCCACAATATGCTGCTTTAGAAAGAAAAGCAAAACTGTTGAATTATACTGTATACCTGCAATATCAAAATACTTATTAAATATTTCGTAATGTGTTGGATTTGAGAATTGATCTAGTCCTGTGACTGTTGTGACATGTTGACCTATGGTACAAATACATGATTTCTGCCCGAAACGTATGAAAACCAGTGGCGGAGCTGGGGGGTGGCTGGGAGTGGCCACCGGTGGTCCGCGGACCACTGGTGGTCCGTGAGCGCCCCCTAGTGGTCCGTGAGTATATTGGTAACATTTCACATTTGAAATAAATAAATACATTTAAGTTTTCCGCACTCTCGCGGGAATATCTCCGCAATGGAACGAGCTTAAGTTTTCTATTGCATGATAAAGCCCAGCGCAACACCTTCGTCACACATGTTGTCACTTGTTTGTACCATTTTCAGGCGATTTATAATCTGTTCTAGAAAAACGATGTGTTTTGGGATATTTGTGGCGTTAGGTGGTCCGCGAGTGTTTTTTTATTGGTTAAGTGGTCCTTGGTATGAAAACGTTTGAGAAACACTGCCATAGAGGTATGGTTTGGATCATAATAGTCGTGCAGTGGTGACGTATATTTAGCGCCAACCCAGAAGTTAGCATCCCAAGGGCTCCCTCGACAAAAAACAATGGGATTGTTCCAAATAATTTTGGAATAAAAAAAATAAGCTTTGTGGCAAACATACATTTATGATACATTTTCACACCACTTTTGATTTTTGTAGATAGTGTAGATTAAATCTCAATAAGTGAGGCTATAAACAAACTACAGCACAGTCACATGACTTCACAACACCAGCGCTAAGCTACTGTAAGGGCGGCAAATGTTCGGCGTGATGTTGTTTAGTAGTCTCATTTAGACACTTGTTAGCAGCAGCTGTTTTATGACAAATAGCAGCTTCAGACCTGCACCAGTGGGGTATTTACTGACATATTTGATGTGTGCGAAATAAATGTGAAAATCTCTTCATCTTGTATTAACCACAGACCTTATTTCAGTCAATATTCAATAGTAATTATGGAATTTACTACTGTCCTGCTGCAACTTCCTCATTACTGTCATTTAATTGTTGTAATGTTGCTACTTACCTTTTTGTACTTGGAATGTGTAATTATTATTTGATTTCACATTTTTTAAAGTGCTCATTTTACTAAATACTGTTCTTATTTTGTCTCTATCATCATGTGAACGTTCCCTCTGTGTGACCCATGAATTCTGATTGCGATGTGCAGGTACGAGCCTCAGGCTGAGGGGATGGATGAGAGCAGGAGGGAGGAGGAGCTGCAGAAGATCAACAGTGAGCTGCTGAACAAACTTCAAGAACTGGACTCTGACATCATCTTTTCCACTGGTGAGCACTCGCACATCTCAGAGGCCTGTGAGACGTACATGTTTCCGTGAAGTAAGATTGATTGGTTTGGTGTGTTCGTTTCCTGTCTCCTGTCCCCTCACAGGCCCTGAGTTTGGGACAGAGGAGGAATGTATCTTTGTTGGCATGGTGACCGAGGACGTGGATGTTTCAGAGTTGGTGGACACAGTAGCTGCCCTCGGGAGGGACATAGAGGAGAGCGGAAGGGTAACTGCTATAAATATAAATGTATAGAATACTGGAAGGTTGGCGTAGTTGCAAAAAGTCTCATCAAAGATTAATAAATATGTTACGCTCTGCAGTAGCAAAATAACACAATAGGCTCTTTTCCCCGTACTTTTCCCGTTTAGTTCCGATAGTTCCTGGGATTTTGCGTTCACACCAATAAGAGTACTTAGTTCCGAGAACTTTTACCCCCTTTTTAGTGCCTGCTGTGGTACTTTCCTGGGGAGAAAAAAGTTCCAATTTATGATTGGCTGGGCGAATTGCAAACCACGCCCCTTAAAACTCAGAAAAGTTTTTTGAAGCCGCCATTGTATTTACTGGCATTTGCATTATTAGCATTAGCCCCGCGCACCAACGGAGAGAGAATAATACGGCAACACAAAAAAAAACATGGGAGCGGTGGAGATGAGGAGGTGTCGGCATTCTGGCGATTATACAGTATACGCGTTATGGCAGTATACGCCGTGAAGTTGTTTGCGGCCTGCCAGTAAACCCAAAGCAGAAGAAGTGACGTCAGCAGCTTAATTTGCATAATCTTCCCTCAGGGAACTTATTCCGGTGTGAACGTGATCAGCTCTTAGTTCCATGGGGGTACTAAGTGCTGGGAACTAAGTGCTGGGAACTAAGTACGGCAAAGTACTTGGTGTGAAAGCGGCTAGTGACACCATAATTTTCAGAACTATTAAATACACAATAATTTTTGCTGTTGATGATTGAATCACATGATGATTGTGATTGTGTGTACAGTGTGTTTACCTCGTGGTCTATCATGTGTGTGACTTTTGTGATGTTTCCTGAAGCTGCTGGAGAACATGACGGAGGTGGTGAGGAAGGGCATCCTGGAGGCGGAACTGCAGCTGCAGAAGGCCAACGAGGAGAAACTCATGGAAGAGGTGTGTGCGCGCCTGCTGGTGCACGGATGTGTTGTTAGAATTAATGAAGAACTATTAAGCCTCCTGTCGTGTTCAGGTCAAATCTGACCGATTTACTGCTTTCATCAATCATAAATATTGTGTTTTACATCTGATTGTCTCAAGGCCTTATGATATCCTCCACAGTAGGGATTTGAACTTATAAACTTGCTGATCACCACTTTGATTGAATTTTGAGAGGTTTAGTCAACTTTGTTACTGTTCCCAGTCACAAATGAGCGCCATAGGAAATTCATGGTTAACCCTATTATCCCCAGATATCAAATGATACACCTACAAATCGACAACCATGTCAATGTGGAATACATTTTCAGTGTCTATTATTTGTATATTCGATGCAGTTATTCATGTGACCAGTAGTTAAAGGGTGTTAACCTGTTCTACACCGCATCCCCGATACCGGGGGAAAAAATGCGTCATCTGCAGGAAACAGCGTCTGAGGGCATCTTAATATTCAATAAACTATGAATGTTTTATATCCATGTAACAGGAAGAAACTCAGTTAACTGATCTTTTTTCCTTTTTTTAACCTGTTAATCACTGAGCCTGTTTTTCAGGTCTCAGGCTCGAAAATGACATTCCCAGAACTAATGACCATATCTTCCCTTCTAAAAGGGTTACATTAATAATCTTTTTTCTCAAAGTAATGATAAACCTGTGAGTTGGATGAAGAAAATCAGAATCAATATAGATGTTTTTATTTTAAAGAAAATTCAGATTGAACATAGTAAAAAACTGTAAATTATAGTGTCCGTCCAAAAATTCTTTTTTACTTATAGTGAAAACTACCCTTGGATGATGGGTTAGTAGACTAAAAGCTTTAGGAATCCAAAGTAAAACATATAATAAGTACCCTGTATCAAGATTGATGCAAAACAAGTGACATTTGACCTTTTTAGAGAGATTTAGCAAAAGAAAACCACTTCTGGGGTCATTTGGGTGGATTTTGTCTTTATAACGGCCCGTCCACACAGCGGCGTGCGTTGAAGCTTCCAACGCTTCTGCCCATTCACTTTGAATGGGGTGACGTCACTGCATTTTGGGAAGCGACGTGGAGCGTTGCTGGCGTTGCTCGCTTCAAAAGTTGAGCAATGTTCAACTTTTGACGCCTCGACGCCTCGTCGTCAGCCAATCGAATCATATGCCAGTACAAGCTCTAGCCAATCAAACCGCGTGCTTGTGTGTCTGGGGCGGGAGATTCATGTGATTGGTTGTTGGTCGAGTGTCAGACACGCCCGCCGGCAAGCGTCAACGCACGCCGCTGTGTGGACGGGCCGTAACCGCTAGAGCCAATGGAATCGAGGGGAAGTTCTACACACACCAACACATGAACAAATAAGGAGTGTGAGTGACGCATAGCCAAAACCGGAAGCTGCATACACTCTGGTGGCTACCATTAGCAGCTAAAATGTTTGCTCGATTTTTACATAAAAATGGAATTATGGATTATGAATTATTGCTTCAAAGCCACAGATACATTATCAACCTATGGTCAGGGGCGGTGGGTGCTGTAGGCTAGGGAAGGCTTCCCAAATATTTGTGTCACTGCATCCTGGTAAAATAAAAATATAATGTATAGGGATGCACGATATTGGTTTTTTGAAACCGATACTGATAACTTCCTGCTTCTCAAGACCGATACCGATAATAATATAATATATATATATATTAAATGTACCTGTAGTTTTTGCACACCTGGTGGTAAAAAAAAGACTAGTAGTGAGCAAATGACATGAGCATTACTACTATGAACAAAACTAACCCTGGGGTCGTCTCTGGCAAACTTCTTGCCTTTTTCAAAAGCCTCATCGATAGGTAAAAGCCCCGGTGCCTTTGCAGCTGGCTTTGGATTCGCCGCTAGTTTAGCAGCGCAGGCGTCTTCGTACGCTTTTAACACACCATCGTAGCGATGGCGATGTTTCAGGTGACTAATCAGGTTGGAAGTATTATAGCTCGTTGCCTTTTTCCCTCCTCGTGGAACTTCTGCATTGCATTTGTTAATACAAATAGCAAGCGAACTATCTAACTCTGAAACTTTGAAATAGTCCCATACTACCGACGACATGTTTGTTTACTGTCCTGGCTTCACGGCCGCACACCATTTACGTCACAGCCAGGCATGAGTTAGGTGTGAAAAACTCCTCTCTTCCTAAACCACTAATACCACAGTACTGGCAAAATGGGAGGAGCCGAGTGAAAAACAAGCGCCCCTCATCCCAATCCACCCACACCGCAGTATTTTTTTCTTTTTTTTACCCAAAAAATATATTGTATATTATCGGGGCTATTAATACTTTTATCGGGTTTATCGGGATGACGTCATAATTCCTAATATCGGACCGATAATTATCGGGCCAATAATTATCGTGCACCACTAATAATGTATAATGTTTGTGTCTTTGACATTAGCGCTGCTATGCAGCCACCTGTGCCCTGTACCACGAAGCCAGTTCAACAGACCCTGGATATGTTTGAGTTATCTTAACTAACCCTAACAAACGAGATCTCGCTAAGCGGTCCACGACGCTGGTTAATATCAACTCGGTAAATCAAGCCAGGGTTTCTCTCACCAGCTGAGAGCGCGTTCACGTGAAAGGGGCGGGGTTAGCAACATTTGACCAATCACAAATAGGGACAGCGCAGCGTCATACTTCATTAATGAAAAGTGAACTAATATTAGACAAATATGAACTTTAAACATCCATGATGACTTAAACATATAATCCAGGATACAAGCCACATAGTTGCACCTGCAAGGTGAATATAGAACAACTGGTTAAAAAATACCTACCGAGTGTTTGAAAGCGTACAACAGTTTTATGATATCACTGCCCCGTCTAAGACACGAGTGGATCTGTCTTGAATTACATTTGAGTTGAGTGTTTAGTCAACTTAATGTGTTGCTTAAAATAATACTTCTGCATAAATTATGTGAAAAAAAAAGTTATTTAGCCTTCCCAAACCTGAGCCTCACGCGCCGCCTGGTTCAACCGATTCAGCCGCGTTTTTTTATCGTTTTAATGCTATTGAACACGTCTTTTGATCAGATTGACAGCTACGGTGAGATGATCTCCCGTAAAAGCTCCGTAAAGGTACGTGTTGTGAAAAAAAACGCAAAATGCATAGAAAACTATGCATACCTATAACACAATACAAACACAATGGTCTTACACCTGCATTAGGCTACTACATCACATTGTACATCAGCATGTTCAAATCGGATAGGTGGGCACTAGGGACATCTGGGCACCTCGATGTACAATTGGTTATTTTGTCCAAAATGTTAAAAAATTAAATATTTGAAAAATGGTATTAAGTAATGCAAAGTATACATGATGTGAACATGCACGGTACATCATTATTAGACGTAATGTTATCCTTCAACCAACCATTTTCCCAGCATTATCCCATCAATCAGCTGACTGACTCTCACACACGTACACACACACGTGCGAGCATTGTGCCTGCCCTGTCAACTGAGCGGTCCTAGCGCCCTTCGCATACAGCACACAAACACACAGGCACGCAGCCAGACACACTGCATTGCGCGCAAACAGAAAAATATTTTTTATTTTACCCTTTACACGGGAGACCGGGACAAACAAAGTCCCGTACGGCACACGCCCCTTTTGGCTAAAATATGGGGCGTCCCGGCTAATACGGGACGGTTGGCAACCCTACATGTCAAAATCGAGCAAGGGGGGCCAGAGATAGGTCAAATCCACCCAAATGGCCCCAGAAGAGGTTTTTCTGTCTAAAAAGGTCAAATATCACTTGTTTTGCATCAATCTTGATACAGGGTACTTATTATATGTTGTACTTTGGATTCCTAAAGCTTTTAGTCTACTAACCCATCATCCAAGGTTAGTTTTCACTATAAGTACAAAATATATTTTGGACGGACACTATAATTTACAGTTTTTTTTTACCATGTTCAATCTGAATTTTCTTTAAAATAAAAAACATCTATATTGATACTGATTTTCTACATCCAACTCACAGGTTTATCATTACTTTGAGAAAAAAGATTATTAATTTAACCCTTTTAGAAGGGAAGATATGGTCATTTGTTCTGGGAATGTCATTTTCGAGCCTGAAACCTGAAAAACAGGCTTGGGGCTTAACAGGTTAAGGGTTTTTGTGTTAATGTAAGAGTCAAATGTTACCGGGAATCCCAAGTAAGGTGGGAGAAACAAATACGAAAGGAGGGTTAAATGACAAAGATGTTCTCCACTCCTTAAATTAGTAAGGATTCATACTTGGATAATAAAGAATTAGGTCTGGGGTAAGAAAGGATTGCCTTATTTGCCCTCTTGTTTAATTGATTGTGTGAGTGTGTGAGCGTGAACATGTAAGGATACACATATTTGTCTGTTTGTGTGCAGGGGGCTCTGAGACAGCTGCCTCTGGTGGGCTCCGTGTTAAACTGGTTCTCTCCATCCAAGAGTTCCATAAAGGGCCGCACCTTCAACCTGGCTGCAGGTACAGTGGGACTTATATTTATTATATGATCACAATGACGAGTGATGACACTGTCATATCAATCAAGAGATAAAGTGTAACTCAATGTCTCGTGAATATTATTGTAGTTTTTCAAACTTCGACCCACACAGCGGTTTCATTGTATTTTTGGAAGTCGCCCACATTTATGAGTGGAGAGTTGTAAATCATACATGTCTAAAATGTATATACACTGAACAAAAATATAAATGCAACACTTTTGCTTTATTGGGGGGGTCTGGGGGGGTCCGAAAACCAGTCAGTATCTGGTGTGACCACCATTTGCCTCACGCAGTGCAACACATCTCCTTCGCATAGAGTTGATCAGGTTGTTGATTGTGGCCTGTGGAATGTTGGTCCACTCCTCTTCAATGGCTGTGCCAAGTTGCTGGATATTGGCAGGAACTGGAACACGCTGTCGTATACGCCGATCCAGAGCATCCCAAACATGCTCAATGGGTGACATGTCCGGTGAGTATGCTGGCCATGCAAGAACTGGGATGTTTTCAGCCTCCAGGAATTGTGTACAGATCCTTGCAACATGGGGCCGTGCATTATCATGCTGCAACATGAGGTGATGGTCGTGGATGAATGGCACAACAATGGGCCTTAGGATCTCGTCACGGTATCTCTGTGCATTCACAATGCCATCAATAAAATGCACCTGTGTTCGTCGTCCATAACATACGCCTGCCCATACCATAACCCCACCACCACCATGGGCCACTCGATTCACAACATTGACATCAGAAAACCGCCACACACGCTGTCTGCCATCTGCCCTGAACAGTGAAAACCGGGATTCATCCGTGAAGAGAACACCTCTCCAACGTGCCAGACGCCATCGAATGTGAGCATTTGCCCACTCAAGTTGGTTACGACGACGAACCGGAGTCAGGTCGAGACCCCGATGAGGACGACGAGCATGCAGATGAGCTTCCCTGAGACGGTTTCTGACAGTTTGTGCAGAAATTCTTTGGTTATGCAAACCGATTGTTGCAGCAGCTGTCCGAGTGGCTGGTCTCAGACGATCTTGGAGGTGAACATGCTGGATGTGGAGGTCCTGGGCTGGTGTGGTTACACGTGGTCTGCGGTTGTGAGGCCGGTTGGATGTACTGCCAAATTCTCTGAAACGCCTTTGGAGACGGCTTATGGTAGAGAAATGAACATTCAATTCACGGGCAACAGCTCTGGTGGACATTCCTGCTGTCAGCATGCCAATTGCACGCTCCCTCAAAACTTGCGACATCTGTGGCATTGTGCTGTGTGATAAAACTGAACATTTTAGAGTGGCCTTTTATTGTGGCCAGCCTAAGGCACACCTGTGCAATAATCATGCTGTCTAATCAGCATCTTGATATGCCACACCTGTGAGGTGGGATGGATTATCTCGGCAAAGGAGAAGTGCTCACTATCACAGATTTTTTCAGATTTGTGAACAATATTTGAGAGAAATGGATATTTTGTGTATGTAGAAAATGTTTTAGATCTTTGAGTTCATCTCATGAAAAATGGGAGCAAAAAGTGTTGCATTTATATTTTTGTTCAGTGTATACCTATGTTAAATGTGCCACATTTTTGACATACGTACTGAATACACATGAATATGAATTGTCCTTTTAATTGATGTTTGTTGCTATATACAGGGCTGTAACCATAGCACTTAATCTCTTATAAAAGACAAGTATATACAGCGGGTACAATAAGTATTGAGCATGTCACAATTTTTCTCAGTAAATATATTTCTAAAGGTGCTATTGACATTACATTTTTACCAGATATCGGTAACAACCCATGCAATCCACACATGCAAAGAAACCAAAACAAATACATTCAGAAATTAAGTTATGTGTAATAAAATGGAATGACACAGGGAAAAAGTATTGAACATGCTTACTGAAATGTATTTAATCCTTCGTACAAAAGCCTTTGTTTTAATGACAGCTTCAAGACGCCTCCTGTATGGAGGAACTCGTCTCATGTATTGCTCAGGTGGGATTTTGGCCCAATCTTCCACACACACAGTCATCAAATCTTAAAGGTTCCGTGGGCCTTTTCTATTAACTCCGATCTTTAGTTCTTTCCATAGATTTTATATTGGATTCAAGTCAGGTGATCGGATGGGCCGTTCTAGCAGCTTTACTTTCTTTCTCTGAAACCAATTGAGAGTTTCCTTGTCTGTGTGTTTGGGATCATCGTCTTGCTGAAATGTCCACATTCGTTTCACCTTCATCATCCTGGGAGATGGCAGCAGATTTTTATCAATAATGTCTCTGTAAATTTTTCCATTCATCCGTCCTTCAAGAAGTTTGCCAGTGCCCTATGCTGAAAAACAGACCCCCACCACGATGTTCCCACCTCCAAACTTCTCCGTTGGTATGGTGTTTTTGGCGTGATGTGCAGTGGCATTTGACCTCCAAACATGGTGTGTTTTATGGCATCCAAAATGCGCGATCACACCGCAGTACTTTTCCCACTTTAGTTCCGATATAGTTCCGAAATGTTGCGTTCACACTAGAGATGGGAACGATTAATTGAATATTCGAAATGATTCAGGTATTCGAATAATTATTCATGTATTCGAATATGAGTTATGAATATATATATATATATATTTTTTTTTTTTTTGGGAGTGATGTCTAAGTTGATTACATATTATCAAATTGAATAATTCAATGTATATGTATATATACGTCAGTGCCATAGTTAAATGTGTTAGTTGAGGTCTAAAGGTGTGTTTTGCTCCGCTCACCGGTCCCTCAATCAATCAATCAATCAATCAATCAATCAATCAATCGATCAATGTTTATTTATATAGCCCAATATCACAAATGTTACATTTGTCTCAGTGGTCTTCACAGTTTTTACAGAATATCAGTATGACAATACGACACCCTCTGTCCTTAGACCCTCACATCGTACAAGGAAAAACTTCCGGAGAAAACCCACAGTTTAAAGGGGAAAATGGGAGAAACCTCAGGGAGAGCAACAGAGGAGGGATCCCTCTCCCAGGACGGACAGACGTGCAATAGATGCTGTGTGTAAATTGAAAAGATAATACATTTGCAACATAGGTAGTCCAAATGTTTGGAAATGCATGTGTGTATAATAGGAAGATGAATCCACAAGGATATCCATCCAGGACCTATGATCCAGGACCACAGCCACGACTCAAGATCCAGGGCTCGCGATCCAGGACACAGGACCGCAGGATCATCCATGACTCCGGATCCCGGCGTATATAGACACCAAAAAGCCACACAAACTAAGCCTATATCAGCAAAACTAGGGGCTGAATCTAATCAGCCCTAACTATAAGCTTTATCAAAAAGGAAGGTCTTAAGCGCACTCTTAAAAACGGATAGGGTGTCTGCCGCCCGAACACAAACTGGAAGCTGATTCCACAAATGTGGAGCTTGATAAGAAAAGGCTCTGGCTCCCATTGTACTTTTAGAGACTCTAGGAACAACCAACAACCCTGCATTCTTGGAACGCAATGCCCGAGTAGGACAGTAGGGTATAATGAGTTCTTTAAGGTAAGATGGCGCCTGCCCATTAAGGGCTTTGTAGGCGAGAAGAAGAATTTTAAATTCTATCCTGTGTTCAATAGGGAGCCAGTGTAAGGCAGCCAGAACAGGAGTAATGTGGTCCCTTTTCCTAACTCTGGTTAGTACACGAGCTGCAGCATTTTGAATCAGCTGAAGCGACTTGACTGACTTCTTGGTACACCCTGATAATAAAGAGTTACAATAATCCAGCCTTGAAGTAACAAATGCATGGACTAGTTTCTCTGCATCGTTTTGAGGCAAGATATGCATGATTTTTGCAATGTTACGTAGATGGAAGTAGGCGGTCCTTGAAATTGATTTTATGTGGGCGTTAAAGGATAAACCCTGATCAAATATAACACCAAGATTCCTTACAGTCTCACTGGAGGCCAAATTAATGCCATCCATGGTTAATATATCCTTAGATAATTTGTTTCGTAGATTCTTTGGGCCGAGTACAATAACTTCAGTTTTGGTCGTGTTTAACATAAAAAAATGTAAGGTCATCCATGTTTTTAAGTCCTTGAGGCAGTCTTGAATTTTATTTAGATGATTAATTTCATCAGGCTTGATTGATAAATATAGTTGAGTATCATCCGCATAACAATGAAAGTTTACAGAATGATTCCTTATAAATGCCCTCACAGCGGGCAGAGCTGCAGGTGCTGATCTCTCTCTCTTGCGTCCGGTTATACTTCACTCGTGTTTATGTCCAAATCCATCAGATCTAGCTAGTTCTAGCCAATGGTATGGCTGCTGCCCCTCCCTACACGCAGATCACGCAGACTCAAACCTCATCTTAGGCCCAAATGCGGCGCAAATGCGCTCCGCAGCCGTTGCGAGGTTCCGGCGCTAACAGTTCATGAGTGTGCTCGCCCGCCCCCTGTCAACACTCGCGACACATGAGTGGCCAGCCTAAACAACAATAAGCGCTGCTTGGCAACCGTGTGTGGCGGCAAAGTACATAGACATTTTGACTGGAGAGATTTAGTTTTGCCGGTATTCAACATATTTTACCAGTCATAGTCCGGTAATTATTTACACTCTAAGAAGAGTCCTACACAACAGACATGGCGTCAAAAAGGAGTAATGTGTGGAAATATTTCGACCAGGTTAGTGAGTGCGGTGTAGAGTGCAAACTATGCCAAATTAAACTTATATATACATGCTATACCTTGCTATACCCGCAACCTCCGTTCCAGCTGAGAGGGTCTTCTCTACAGCTGGGCTGATTGTGAATCGCCTCCACACATGAAAGCTGTAGGCCTATAGCTGTCAAACTGTGATCACCAGTTCAATACATTTGACAAATTCGACTTGGTTTCTACAGTTATTTGAACATGTATATACATTTCGGTTAACCGGTTAACCGTTTTTTTGGTGGGTCGAATATTCGAATATACATTTGCTTTCAAATTCCCATCCCTAGTTCAC